AGACAGAAGCCCAGCTCTCGCGGGCCCGGCGCCACCTCCCCCGCGGCGTGGCCCAGGCAGAGCGCGGCCAGCAAACAGCCTAGCCGACCCGCCGCGGCCACTACCTCCGCCGCCATCGCCTGCTGCCCCCCTCGCTTTTTCGCGCAGCCTACTCCGCTCTGTCCGCGCCTCCACCTCCCCCGGACCAATCGTCGCCGGCCTCCGCTCCCCCTCGGCCAATAGGCGGCAGGCGAGGGCGGGCGCCGGGGTCGGACTAGGCTGCGCCAGGGAGTAAACAAGCGGCGCCGCGGGGCGGGCCGGGGGCGTGGGGTTCTCCGCCCTACCGGGTCCCGCTGCCGCTCCGAAGGCTAGGGGTGGCCCGCCGCCCTCGGCACCCGGAGTCCGACTCCTCCCGCGACCGCCCCGGAGCGCATGGAGGCCGGGCCAGTGCCCTGGGATGTCCGCGTCTCGGAACTTGGCCAGTCGGATGAACCACGGGCCCAACCTGTGCGGGGTTGCAGAGACTGAAATGTATGGGAGGTGTGCTGCGCGCTTAGGGAAGGGTCCCGGGAGCCAGAAGGGTTTCTGACTCGCTGAAGTAAGAACCAGTGACTGGGCGTCCGGAAGCTAAGGTTTATTAGAGAGGTTTATCGCGCCCGACACTGGATAGGTCTGGAGACCTCAGTCCCTGCCTTCAAGGAGCTTGCGTTCCCGCCAGGGACACACATGGTACACAAGGAAACAGAAAATCACTGCTTCTTTGGATCCTCACAGCTACTTCATGTAATTAATATCTTATGGGAGAAAAGTGAAGCTCAGAAAGACAACATGGCTATTGGGTTCCAACGCCACCTGCCTAACACCCTGGTCATCGTCCTAGTCACTCAAGGAGGTAGCGGCTCTGTCAGGAATCACTGGATCAGGTCGTTCCACTTCTCGCAGTTCATCCTCGAGAGAATGAGCCCTCAGGACCAAGAGGAACTATTCAAGAGGATCCTCTCTGTAGTTACTTTAGAAGACAATATAATCCGTTGACAATATGGAATGTTCCTTACCCGTTATATACGATCTTTATGTGATTGGAAGGAAATAGACCAACTACTAACAAGGCTTCTCTATAGGTGTCCAGATTAAGTGATCTTTGTATATTTCTCTACACTTTTATGTTTTTTCAAATTTCCTAGCACAAGTAGGCTTCAATAAGTCTTAATATATATGTCATTTAAAGTGATCTTTATAAGGATTCTATAGAAACAATTTGCTGTGTCATGAAAATAACTATTTAAAAAAGTATATACGCAGTGGTCACAAAGTGAAACGTTTGTGTGGTAAAAATAATGTGGAAAAATGTGTAAACCTGTGGTGAATGACCAAAGGAAAAAATATTTTGTGAAAAACTGTTAAAAAGATGGTAAGTGTCTCCTCTACATTGTAAACTCAGAACTGTGACTAGGCCCACTGCATCTCCATATTCTCCAGTTTTTATTACCCGATTGTGCTAGGTGCTGTTTGAGTAGTTTGCATTCTTGCAGATTACAGAATAAGCCGCCAGCAGAAGGAATAATGACATTATTGAGCCTTTCCACTGGATCCTCATGCCTCCTTTGAAGAAAAAAAAGTATGTAAACATTATAATGGACTCAGTCCCTTTAGGTCTCATTTCTGTCTTCAAGTCAAGGTAAAGTGCTGACATTGAGATAGAAGGGATGACATGCTTGAAATGAGTCATGTGTCTGAAAAGTCATTAACCGGCAAAGAACAGTCCAAAAGGAAAAACAGGAAAAACTCCCAATGGACTTAGACAGGGCTCTCACTTTTTTTTTTTTTTGTCTTTTTCCGTGTCCGGCAACGGATCGCAACCCTCAGTGTTGCCCCCGTACCGGACCGGGGACAGGCAACGGGATCGCAACCCTCGGTGTTGCTCCCACGCCTCGCTCAGCCAGTGAGCGGGAACCGGTCCGTATGTGGGATCCGAACCCTCGGGCGGGAGCGCCGCCGCGCTTCCCAAGCGGCGCACTATCCAGTGCGCCACCGGGCTGGCCCAGGGCTCTCACTTTTGACAAATTACTTCTTTGGTCTCAGGTTACCTTGAAAAACAACCTATAACTAATTGGGGGGGGGGGGGAAACCTTTGGGGGGAAGAACAATTGGATCAAACTTGGAAAACACAAATGGTCATTTAAACTGTTAATAACTAGGGCCAGCCCATAGCTCACTTGGGAGAGTGCGGTGCTGGTGACACCAAGGGCGCGGGTTAGGATCCCTATGTAGGGATGGCCGGTTGGCTCACTTGGGAGAGCGTGGTGCTGACAACACCAAGTCAGGGGTTAGGATACCCACCGGTCTGTATGTGGGATCCGAACCCTCGGCGGGAGCGCCGCCGCGCTTCCCAAGCGGCGCACTATCCAGTGCGCCACCGGGCTGGCCCAGGGCTCTCACTTTTGACAAATTACTTCTTTGGTCTCAGGTTACCTTGAAAAACAACCTATAACTAATTGGGGGGGGGGGTGAAACCTTTGGGTGGAAGAACAATTGGATCAAACTTGGAAAACACAAATGGTCATTTAAACTGTTAATAACTAGGGCCAGCCCATAGCTCACTTGGGAGAGTGCGGTGCTGGTGACACCAAGGGCGCGGGTTAGGATCCCTATGTAGGGATGGCCGGTTGGCTCACTTGGGAGAGCGTGGTGCTGACAACACCAAGTCAGGGGTTAGGATACCCTTACTGGTCATCTTTTAAAAAAAAAATTAAAAAGTAAACTGTCAATAACTAAAGATACAAAGAATCCAGTACATGGCAGAAGAAGCTGCTCACAAGTGGGTTTCTGTTTACACTAGAGACCTCAACAGTATTTCACCTTGGCTCTGTGCCATTCTTTGACCTGAATGACAACAGAACTTCTTCCTGGCTCTGCACAGTTCCTTGCCCCACCCATCTTTAGGCACAGCATGAATGGAAACACTTCAGGTCCCTCGTTGGTCCTCCCTAAGCCATTTTCCTTACTGGTCATTTGGATCAACACATCTGTTTTTTGGTTTTTTGTTAATATTATTATTTTTTTGCATTCTATGATGTTGTTGCGGAGCAGTTGAGAGGGGAGAGGGGAAAGGGGAAGGAGATGGGGTGGAAGAAGGAGGAAGGAGGAGGGGTGGGATTGAGGCCTGTGGCACCCCCCTCATTCCCACAGGGGCGACCAGGGGGCTTCCAGCAGTGGCTTGGTCATTGCTGGCCTGGGTGTAGACGTCAGGGGGGGGGTGGCAAAAGCCCTTGCCCCCTCCACTCCAGCTCAGGAACCCAGGGCCTTTCTTGCTGTGGCTCAGTGGTCGGCAGTGGGCTGGTTGTGCCTGTTGGGGGCATGGCTGAGGCCCTTGGCCCCACGCTGCCCTGGCTCGGGAGAGCCTGGGTGCTGCCTGTGGCAGCTTGGTGGTTGTCATTGGGCTGGTTGCCAGTGTCGGGGAGGTGTGGCTGAGGCCCTTGGCCCCCCACCACCCCAGCTAGGGAGAGCCCAGGGCGCTTCCAGCAGTAGCTTGGTGGTCATCGCTGGGGTGGTTGTGTTGGAGGGATGTGGCCGAGGCCCTTGGCCCCCCACCCTCAGGACTGGTTGCAGGTGTCGGGAGGCATGGCTGAGGCCCCCAGCCCTCCCCCCTTCCTGGCTTGGTAGCCCAGACTTCCAGTCCTTCTAGGTGTTATAGGTGTTCTTTGGTGAAATGAGACCTTTACTAGTTAAAATATCAAACTGTGTCTCTGGTTGTGGGTACTTTGCTTTTTCTTTCAGTTCTGTGTTGGATTATTTGCTGTTCCCACCACTCAAACCGTGCTGGAACTAATTTGTTGTCCTTTGCTTACTTCTAAAATGGGGGAACTTCCTGTGGGGACCAGCACTTGAGCTCTGTGGTTGAGCTAAATTGCTGCTTTGCTGCTGATTCCCTGGGGAAGGCTTTTTGTGCAGCTTAGGTTTTAATGGTTGACCTTATAGGTACTTCTAGCTCTCCAGCAACTTGGTGCACCTGGGTTGTGTAGAAACTCTGGTCTGGGTCTGAGTCTTTTCATCAAACTGCACCCCCTGCAGTTCTATATTCCTGACCAGTCTCTTCTGAGTGGTCCTATGCTGATTGGGGGGCAGATCAGCTGTCCTTGCTGTGTCCCAGTGTTCCCCCGGTGGGCCCATCTCTGCCACTGCCAGTGCTCCAAACACTTCTCATGGGACGAGCCATGCTCCAGTCCCTTGCAATGACTCTCTGGCTTCTGAGTGGCTCCTTTTTTTCAGTTGTTGTGGCTCCTTGCTCCTATGTGGGTCCATGGGAGCCCTATTAGTGGACTTGCTGGCCTGGGGGCCACCAAGGCCCTCCTCTCCCCTGCCGCTTCCAAGCAACTCCATCCAAAGGGCACAGCAGCAGCTTTTGCCAGCTACCACTCTGAGCGCTCAGCAGCTCCAGCCTGGAAACATCCGGGATTCGAAACAGAGCAGTTTTTTTCTTTCTCTCCTCATGGCTTCTCCTGCCTTCATGTACTCTGTAGGTCTCTCCTCTTCCCCTGAGTTTTAGTGGCCCCAGCCTGGCTGTTGTTGCTTTTCTATAGTTGTAAATTGGTTGATTTGTGGGAGAGAGTGATGCTGGGACCATCTATTCTGCCATCTTGACCGGAAGTCAAGACGTCTCTATGTTTTACCTAAATATATATTCTTGAGTTTTAAACCCATAGCTATTGAGTGTGACCTCATTAGCTACTTCTGCTTATCTCTCAAGTCTTAGCTCGAATGTCACTTACTCTAAGTGATCTTCCTGGAGTGTCTTGACTGGGTTGGGTCAAGGTTATAGGAGTGTGCTCCCCACACAGCACCCAACCTTGTTTTAGGATTCATTCACTCATTCATTCATTCATTCAACAAGTATTTCCTGCATTGAGTGCCTGCAATATACCAGGTACTGTTCCAGTACCTGGACTATAGTGGAGATAAAATAAAGTATTTCCTACCTTTGTGGAAATATGATTCTAGTGCAAGGACAACAGAAAATACACCAGTCTGTATTTTAATATCTAGTAATAAGTGCCATGGAGAAAAATAAGTCAAGATAAGGAGACAAGGATTGGGGCAATGCTCTTTGAGATGGGGTGATCAGGGAAGGTTTCTCCAAGGAGAGAATGTTTTGAACAGAGATTTAAGAGAAATGAGGAGTGAGCCTTACAAAAACTTGGGAGAAGTGTCCCTTGTGTGACTATCTCCCTCAGGGAGTCTTCCTCACTAAACTCACTGAGGGGCTGGTAGCACCTGGTACGTGGCAGGGGCTTCAACGCGTGGAACAGACAGATGCATGTAGTTACTCTTGCCCACTTAGCTTCCACATTTTTTATTTCTTTTATCTGGGATATCCTCTTTCCTTTGTTGCCTGCCCATGTGCCTCCCTTTCCCCAGTTTGTCTACTCAGTTAAGCCCTGCTTGCTCAAGCCCCTGGCCTCAGTGCACCTGACTGTATACACCAGCCTGCAACACTTGTGCAAACTGTGAAAGGATCTGCACAGCTCCAACTTTGGGAGTGGATGCAGTGAGGCAACTCTCGGGACGGACGCTGCAACTCTGAAACCACAGCCAGCCCATAAGTACAGACAAAAAGGCAACTGTATGTTATAAAACAATATGATCATACTTTTGGCCAAGCTCTATTTGTCCTTCAGCCCCCCAGGTAGGGAAGAGGGGCAATGTGCCCATTCCAAATGCCCCTCCAGCATCTGCAGGCGGGAGACCCTACAGCATCCGTTTTATGGGATTCATGCTGTGGCAGTTGAGCACAATTGCCCTGTATGTTTACCAGCAGCTGTTCCTCTCTAATTCCTGTGACAACTGCCTTGATTATATATATTTTGTAAATTACATTTCTGCTGGCATTTCACTAAACATCTCAGAGTACTTTATTTTCCCTTGCCCTGTCAGGAGTGACAGCTAGCCACAACCACTTTTTTCTCTATGACAAAACTCAAACAGGCAAGGTGCAGACTCACCAAGCTTTATACATATTTCGTTTTTATTACTAATCAAAAATAAATTCCATATATTGTTTAGCAAATATTATCATTGTTTTGTGACAAAAGACACAAGAGTCATAAAACAAAACTCCCCGAGAGTCAAACTCATAACAATGCCAAAGTAAATCACAAAAATATACAAATTAAAATCTTATGCAAAATAAATATGAGTTATTTGCTATGGTAGCTGTGGCTTGCCTACCCATTTGGATGCCATTTGCAAAGGTCTCCCTTACATGGGAAGTCAGATGGGGTGGGCCAGTTCCAGGGTATGGCTCAGCCCAGGAACCAGAGGTTGAAAGAGGAAGTAAAAAATTGCACTGGGAGGAGGAAGTCATCGGACCAGTAATATTTAGAAATAATTATGACCCCCTGCAAGAAGTGATTGTAAATGGGGAAAGGAGGGGAGAGGAGGGACCGTCTGTTGGTCATAACCGTGTGTGCAAAGAGGTAGCTGCAGAAGTGCGGGCACCTGCCCCTTTTGCTTCACACATACCACTGGGTTAGGGCCAATGCATTTTGCTCCACCTGACATTCAGGTCTCTCAGGAGCACAACTTGGCCATCTCCTGTGAGGACTCAGGAGCAAGCTGCTCCAGTAGAAAACTAAGGTTTTCCCCTAACAGGGAACAAAGGTCTGGTGTCTTTTTTCCTTTTAGCTGAGAATCACAGGCTAATTTACCACCTTCCCTCCAGGCTTCTAGGAGTAAATTTTATGACTGGGGAAGACCTCAGTCTGGCCAGGGGCAGGGATGCTTGGTGCAAGACATTTCCTGGTCCCGAGAGTTAGGATTCTCTAGGCACCTGGACAGCAGAGCACTTGGGGTGACAGGATTCCACTGGTTGAGGAAAGGAGTGAATAAATAGTAGTCAGGCAGAAGGCCTGCAGTGTCTCCCTCACCTGGACCTCGAGCCCCAGCTCCTCTTCCACCCAACAGAAGGGTCAATGTGGACCTTGGTCCCACAGCCTCCCCCACAGTGGGAAGCCTGGAGCTCTGCAGAAGGGCCTGATTCAGCCCCAAGGAAAGGGTGCTGAGGCAGGATTTCACATGGGGGAAAAGTACCACTAACTTCAGCAAAGGCTGGCATGATCTCTCACACTAAGATCACGCAGACATGGGGAGAGGGGACTGCCAGCTGCATGCCTTCAGGTGGAATCCTCCTTTCCTGGGGTTCCACAAGTGGGTGAACGAGGTCAGGTGAGCATCAGCCAGCCACAGAGGAAAGAGCATAAAGAACCTGCTTCAGTGGCTTTCAACATGTCCTCTTGTCTCCATCCCCCAAGAGGGACTGGGGTTTTGGGATTAGAAATAAGGAGTCTGGAAAGAAGAGCTTCATGGGTCAACAGCTGAGCCTTGACTCTCCTTGTGGGATGAGGATGGGTGGTATTGACTGTTAACAACTCAGAGGCCAATGACCAGATTCACTCCTAGAACTGGAAGGAGTGACCCAGACAAGTCACCTCTAATATAGATGCCCTCCCCTCTGAGGGAGCAACCTTTGGTAAAAGTGAGGGCAGGGCCTGGGGAGCAGGGATAAGCAATCATAAAGGTCCAAGACCCTAACTAACACTCTGAGTCAGCCCCTTTACAAGGGGGGAATTGTCCAAGAAGATGGGAGGCAGGGGGGAGCGTCCTCAGCCGAGTCCCAACTCACCAGGAGAGGCCATCGGCAGAGTTCCAGGAGATTCCTAGGTCCAGCAGTTGACAGGGGCAGGTGTGCTCCTCTCTGTGGCTGGCCTTATCCTGTCTCTTGCACAGTCACCCAGAAGACCTTGGCCTCAGCAACATCAGATAAGCCTCGGCGCATGTCTCCCAGCAGCTGATCTCAATGCCTTTTGGTTCTTTGCTTCCTGCGAAGAGCTGTCTTCCTCCTAAATGACAAGCTCCTCCAGCAGGCTCTGGGATCCCACCTCTGGAGGAAGAGGAGGCAGAGGAGGAAGAATGGGCACCCTGAGTTAGGGACACAAGCTAGAAGGACATGGCTGGGAGCAGATTATGGCTATTGCTTCCCAGGGTTAGAAAACCTACCCCTTTTAAAGTCTTTTTGGGGAAAAACAAAAAAAGTTCCTTAACCCTGTCTTCCCTTCCCAAAATGATATTTCAAAAGAGGAACAATGAGCCTAGTTTAGAAATTCTCTTGGTAAAAAACAGCCATTGCTCATGGTAGCTGGCCCACTGCCCCACCAGTGCAGGGCTGGGCGGAGGTCCCTGTCAGAGGTCAGATCCCCACAAGCTGGGGGCCATCTGGCCACTCAGTCAGACAGGCCGTCTATCTTTATCCCTTCTGGCCTAACAGGCTCGCTTCACTTGGGCCCACTGGGGAGGCCCCCGCAGGGTGGGCGGGGGGCCCCAGGCCCTCCTGTCAGATGGCACTCTCGTGGGAGGCTTTGTGCAGCAAGGAGTTGCGCTCGTTGAGAAGAGTGGTGGTCTCGTCCACCACAGGCAGCTCCAACTTCTCAGCCAAGTTCTCCCCGCGGCCGGTGCACCCATCCGTGGGAAACTGAGGGCTGTTGTCCATGCGCGAGGCCAGCAGCCCGTTCTGGTACTGCTGCCGAGTGATCTGTGGGAGGAAGGGGAGCTCTGGAAGCAGGGCTGGCAGGCAGACCCTGTCCAGGCCTGGGGAAGTGGGGCCGAGATGGAGGCTGTGAGTCAAGAAGAGAGGCCACGACCAGGCAGAGCAGCCGGAAACCCTTATGCAGAGCGAGGAGGAAGAACGAAAAGAGTGGCTGGGGTCTGGGCCTGCCACGCTGGGCTGGGCGGATGAAAGGCAGAGGGTCCCCGGGTGTGGAGGAGGCAGTGGGACGTGCTCACCTTGATGTACTGCAGGTCCATGAGCGCCCGAACGCTGAAGTCAGACACGTACTGGCCCAGGATGGAGCTGCCGAACTGGTTGCTGCTGCCAGCCAAGGGTGCTGTGGCCGAGACATCTGTGCGGTCCGGGTTACTGAGGGAGGCTGAGCGGCTGAGAGGTGTGGGGTGGGCTGGGGAGCGTTCTGTGGGTGGAGCAGAGGCCATCAGGCCAAGAGCCAACCTGGTGCCCACTCACATGCAGCCTGTGTCTGACCTCATCCCATGGAAGCCCAGGGACAAGCTGTCCCGCCCAGAAACAGGACATAGTTCTTTTTCTTTTTTTTAAAGATGACCAGTAAGGGGATCTTAACTCTTGACTTGGTGTCAGCACCACGCTCTCCCAAGTGAGCTAACTGGCCATCCCTACACAGGGATCCGAACCCGTGGCCTTGGTGTTATCAGCACCTCACTCTCCCAAGTGAGCTAACTGGCCATCCCTACACAGGGATCCGAACCCGTGGCCTTGGTGTTATCAGCACCTCACTCTCCCAAGTGAGCCACGGGCCAGCCCAAGACATAGTTCTTAGGGATAAACAGAAGCATGGAGAAGCCCTGACCATGAAAGTTCTGACCTTGTCAAAGCAAATGAGTTAGTTTGTTTAGAAGTGTCATGCGACAAGTATTAAAAAGTTTACTAAAACCAACCAACCAACCAGAAAATAACAACAGACACAGAATGTTTACGGCTTCTGACAGTTTGGACGTGTTGTATCCCCAAAACTCATGTGGAATTCTGATCCCCACTGTGGCAGTCTTGGGAGCTGTTTGAGTCATGGGGGTGGAGCCTGCAAGAATGGATTAATGCTCTCCCTGGGGGAGGGGGTAGTGAGTGAGATCTCGATCTATTAGTTCCCATGAGAGCTGGTTGTTCAATAGACCCCGGCACCTCCCCCCGCCCGCCACCCCGCTTCCTCTCACCATGTGATCTGCTTGTACCCACCATGTGCCTGCTGCTTTCCGCCATGAGTAGAGGCAGCCTGAGGCCCATGCCAGATGCAGCTGTCCCAGAATCGTGAGCCAAATAAACCTCTGTTCTTTATAAATGACCTAGTCTCAGGTATTCTGTTATAGCAACACAAAACAGACTAATACAGCTTCAAAACCCCTCGTTTCCCCAATGACTACTCAGTCAAGGGCAACACAATGATTATCCCAGCACAACAGACAAGCTGCTGTTCCTGTCTCAATATAAGCTTATGTCAAGTGACATAAACTGCATACTTTTTTTTTTTTTGGTGGCTGGCCAGTACAGGGATCTGAACCCTTGACCTTGGTGCTATCAGCACCACACTCTAACCAATTTAGCTAACCAGCCAGTCGATACTTTTTAATTAAAAAAATACTTATTAAAAGGAAGAACACACAGGTGGCATTCTCTCACACGAATACATGCACACCCCGCACACATGATACCCTGTCACATCTTTCAGTGCTCTGATGGTTGCAAAAGTGTGTTCTGCATGTGAGCAGCTCAGAGTGGAGCACAGTCCTACCCACTTCTGTCTGCACCCCAGCCAGCCTGGCAGAGAGAGGGGGCATCAGGGCCCTCGCACAGGAACCCAGAGGCCCCACGCTCCAGGCTCCCCACATGGTCCCCCCTCACAAGGCAGAGCCTGGGGTGGAGGTGGTGCTGCCTCTTTCGGCCACTAGAGGACGCACGGGCCTACCTCCCCAGGAAAGGGCAGTGACAACCTCGAATGAGAAAGGCGCCGGCTCCTTACTCTGAGAAAGGAGCTGCATGTGTGAGATAGCACATCACTCGCTCTTATTTTTGAGAACACTTAGAAAACAATGAAATGCACGCGGAAGTTAGTTGTGAAGGCATGTGGGCTTGTTTTAAACAAACAGGAAGGGGACTAAGCTGATTTGCTTAGTTAACTGCCAAGTTCCTAGCCACTAAGTTAGCTATTCTAGCAAATAGCCCAGTGAAGAGTGCAAACATACCGAATCCAGTGACTCAGTGACCAACACGGCTTTTAACTCAGTGAGACTGAACGGAGTGATACTCGTACTCTATCTCCGTGCTTCAGCAAAGTTTTCATTTTCCATTATAAAGCAGTCTGGCTATTCTAGGATTGGGTAGTGGTACCCCGAACCCAGGAACGGGATGTAGTTAGAGGATCATCAGAGGATCACGTGCACGTATCTCACTTAAGTGATGCCTCTGGTTAAGTTCTAGGGGAAAAAAAACCCCAGGAATACTAGGGGTATTACTTAATATTTCACATTCATTTTTTGAATGATAGAATGCTTTTAATTAATGCTTACTAACACCCTCGAAACAGCAACTGAATTTAAAACCAACACAAATTAGTGACCTGACCTATTAAAAATAGAGGTCCTAGAAAGAAATACACCAAAATATTGTTTGTCTCTGAGTAATGAAATTATGGTGCATCTTAATTTTCTCAAGACTATTTTCTGGTTTCCCGATAACAATAAAGATTTAAAAAACTAGGAGTTTTCGACTGGTAGTTCTGTTTCTGAAAGAATATCCTAAGGACATAATCTTCAACACAGAAGAAGTTTTTTGCATAAGGAGGTTTACATGATTGTGTCATTTATGATAAAGACCCCCAGGCATATGCATAAAGTGGAGAATTAACAAGCAAAGGTGCACCTGCTTGGTGGGACACTGTGTGCTCTGAATGGAAAAGTGTCCCTGTACCTGCATTAGGTAAAAACTACAGGATTCAAACCATAAATGCTCAAGCCCCTGGCCATCCATGAAACCAGAGCAAGTACAGAAGAGGGGAGGGAGGCTGAGGCTGCACTGGTAGGGTTTGAAAGGGACAGTGAGCGATTTCTGCTAAGTCACCTTTTTATTTATTTATACTTTAAACAGAGGGTCAAAATAGCTAAGTGTGCTTTGGAACAGTTAAGAAGGAAAACAACTCTACCATACAAATATAAAATTGGAAACAACTGACTGAGGTGATGGGTTTTTTAGGGCTGTTGGGGCCTGAGGAGCTCGAGATGCTTGTAATGCTACTGAGCTGTGCTGGGCTCACCAGCCCAGGCCAGAACCTGACGATGAGACCAGCACCTCCATACCCTTGGCCCACACTGTCCCACTACCATCCGGGACAGGTATCAGGCATGTGACATATCGAAGGCGAGAAACAGCATATGGCATTGGGCCTTTTCTAAATACTTTCTGATTGGAATGCCATATTTTAGTTGTAATAGAGAAAAAACAGAAATAATAATAAATGAGCTCTAACTAAACATTTACATTAATCCTCTCACTTACTGCTCCTGACCACTCTATGAAGTGGAAACATGCAGGGTTCCCATGTCACACAGAAGGAAGCGAGACGGAGATGCAGCACTTAGCCAGCGACTGCGGAGGTGACATTCAAACCTGCGGCCTGGCTCGGGGGCTGCACTTCCAACCACCATGCTGCTACCTCTCCCCAACCCCGAAAGGCAAAAGTCATTTAGAGAAAGCGGATGAGATTAACAAGTCTTTCTGCTGAGGCCTGTGAGTGGAGCGTGTGTGTGACACACACACATGCACATTATCAAGGACTGAAGGACCTTTGGGGAGGTCCTGCCAGAATCAGGGCACTGCCACCTAGGCCAAGCAGAGCCAATACAAGTCAGGCTGGCCCACAAGTGTGACCAGGGGAGACATCCCAGGTGCCTGTGAGGAGGGGTTAATGCAGCTGCGGTGTGCGGGCTCAGGCGACAGGTGGCAGTATAAACTTCTCCAGCCATGCCACATTACCTGAGAGCCACGAGAGCAGGGAGTTCCGCTTGCCAAGCGGACACCCGACCTGGGCTGAAGGCACTGGAGTGAAAGAGGAGAAGGTCAGAGATGGGCAGGGTCAGGAGGCAGGATACAGAGCCACAGGAACAGGACAGAGAGGTAAGCCTCGGGCGGCCAGGCTACCTCGGGCAGAGGGGGCATGGTGCAGAAAGGGACATGGCTCTGATGGACAGACCAACAAGCCCTGTGCTGAGAAGGTCAGAAGTGGGTCGAGTGTGCCCAGAGTCCTCTCCCCACTTCCAGCCACTCCAAGTGGGAACCGAGGGCCATTAGGTTGAGGAACAGAGCCAGGACTGTGACCAGGCCTCTGAGCATGGCTGCAGAGTAAGAGCACCTGCGGGAAGTCTCCCATGCCTGCATGCCCTTCTGAACAAGATTTCCCCAAGCTAGACAGACCAGTGGTGCTCTCAGGAGGGGCAGGCAAGTCCTCCCCAGCCCACCCCAGGAGCGCATGACACCTGGGCTCAGCTCGGTGAAGGGTGGACGATGCAGTGAATGAACTGAGCTGAGCATCAATATTCATGGGTGCCCTGGTCCCCCAAACAGGGTCCTTTTTGTCAAAAGACAGTGAAAGGCACAGCATAGGGGTTCTCCAGCAGGTGTAGCACCAACCCACTGGCATGGCCTGTTTCCTGCACCAAAGTGAACTATCACTCTGCACCCTGCGGCAACATTCCGAGGGCAGAGGGCTCACTCGGAGTGAGCAGCTGAGCTGGGCAACACTCGGGCCCCACCTACAGGGCTCCCACCCCAGCCACAAGGCCTCTCTGGCAAGGGAAGCCTGAGCCACCCAGACCGAGAGGGCACATGTAACACTTCCTGGAGGGCAGCTGTGCTCACCATGGTACCACCAACACTACATGTGTAATACTTCTTGGAGGGCGCCCAGTTCCTCCTTTGTCTGCCCCCAGGTCTCTCTGTTCCATCAGAACCAGCCCTTAACCAAGAGGCAGGGGCTGAACCCCCTGAAAAGCCAAACCCATCTGCAACTGGCCCTGGCAAACAGGCCCTGGCCTGGTTCCCAACCATGGGCATGCTGGACACCCTAGATTCCCCATCCCAGTCATCACGACCAGGGTCCCGCAGCCCCTCCACTGGCTCCTACACCTGCTGTTATGGTCAAGGACGGCCACCTGGGCCAGCTTGCCCTGTTGGTCCATTCCGTTCTCATCATGCTCCCCCGGCTCAAAGGCCATTAACTGCTCCTGCTTCTTATCACACTCAAACGCCATCGACTTTCTGGAGCTCCACGACTCGTCCCTTCCTGCCCAGTCCTCTTCCCTGCAGCAGGCTGGTTTCCTCGCCGTCTCATCACACGCCCTCAGCTGCCTCAAGGCCTTTGCTCAAAATCCCTTTCTCACCTACCCCTTCCTCATCCCCAGCCCCGTCCAAAGGGGCAGGTCACTCGGTTCCTCCAGGCCCTGGCAGCTCCAGCCACACACCAGCCCCCTCTCCCCTGAGCCACCTGGCTCAGAGCCATCTGTGCTGCCCTCAGTTCCGGGGTCAGTTGGTGTCTCCCAGCTCAGGTGTGCTGGAGGGCACTGCACACCCAGCCGACGACTCACCAGAGGGCACTGCAGTCAGGGCCATGGTCCCATAGTAAGAAAAGGCGCCCGTCTCAAACTTCATGTTCTCCTTCCCTGCCTCCACCTCCACTTTCCCCTGAAAGAACACAGGGCCAAGGTTACAGGCGGTGAGGAAGAAAACCCAGCTGGAGGGGACAACGCAAAGGACGAGGCAGGAGGGGGCAATGAGAAGCAAGTGAGACAGGGGCTGAGGAGCCGTGATGGGCTCAGGGCCCTGACCTGCGGGATCAAGGGCGACCTCCCAGGGAGAGGACGGGCAGCCAGGGACACACACCCCGGCGTGTGGGCAGATGGGGAGAGCGGGCACAGGAGGGCGGCGGGCCAGGCCGACAGGCGCTCACCTGCAGGATGAGGATGAAGTAGTCGGCTGGCTTATTTCGGGTGTACAGGTAATGGCGGACATAGTACTTGTTGTGCTCGTCAAATTTGAGTTCCTGGATGACATCTGGGTATTTGAGCAGCCGCAGCAAGATTTTCTCTGATATCAGGGAGGGGCTAAACTGGGAGACCTCTGCAGGGGAGAGAGGAGACTCCACATGGGCCTGGAGCTCGGTCACTGCTGTGACTGCATCTGAACTGCAGGGGCCACTCTGTGCTCAGACGGCTCCCTCCCTTTGGGTCTGCAGCTCCCTGGGAAGGGAGCGCACTTGGCTTCTGACCTGCCAGAGACCGCCTGCCTGCACAGGCCTGAATGGTAGCCCCCACACTCACAGTGCATGACCTTGGGCAAATTACTTAACCTGTGTCTGTTTCCTCATCTGTAAAATGGAAATAGAAACTTCGCAGGGTGGTTTGGTGAGGTGGGATAGCACATGTAAAGCACTTAGACACACTCTTGGGAGGTGGAAAGTGCTTAATGAATGTTACTATAATTACTGTTGTTATCAACATCAATATCCCAGCAAGAAAAACAAAGAAGAAGGAATTATTGCACCTTTAGCAAGTGAGGGTTGAGAAGGAAGTTGGATTGGGGGGAAGGGAACAGAGTATGAAGGTAATTTTCTAATCTGTCACCCAGGTCCCCAGGGGAGCTTTGAATCATGGGGAAGAAGAGAGAAACATCACTGATCTAGAGGTCAGTTCCTGCAGGAACCAGCACTCACGGGCAGAGGGGAGGCAGGAGAGATGCAGCAGAGCAGGACCAGGCTCCTCAGAGCGGGCAACGGGTGAGGGCCACGAAGGACCCCTTCTCCTTCCTCCTCCCCAAGCCCCCATGGGCCTGGCAAGCCAGAAGCCCACCCCAGTCGTTATTTTCAAAACTAACTCGGACACTCCCTAGAAGTATGCAGTGGTACCGTTCACAGAGGACAAATTGCAGGGAGAGCCCCAGGGATGGAGGAGACACCTGTCCCCTTCCAGGGGCAGCTGTGATGTCCCCGCACCCACTGCAGCCCTCATCCCCTGGGGGTTAGAAGCCAGAGGCCCAGGATCTCTCCCTCCATGACAGTCTTTACACCAGCACCGGAAGGTCCTCCTCACGCTCTCACCCGTGGCCAGGAAGCGGTGAGCAGCCAGAAGCAGCTGAGGTGAAATTTTCACTTTGAGTTCATTGTCAGCATCCTTGAAGGCTGAGAAGTCGCGCTTGCTCTTCTCAGACACCCGTTTCCGGCTTCGGTTGTCAGCTGCAGGAGAAAGAATGTGGAACTGAGCACGCTATCCCCTGAGGACCTGGGAACAGTCTGGAGCCCGCCCTGGCTCCTGCTCCCCAGACCCTCATCGCATGCAGGAGCATCAGGCCCTGGGCAGGCAGAGTCCCCGGGCCCACACCAAGCACACAGGCTGGGAGGGAGGGAGGGGGCCTCCTCCCTCTGCCAGCGCAGGGCACCTGCTTCCTGGGCCCTCCCTTGTCCCTTCCTACTGGCCTTTCCGCCCACAGTCACCAGGTTTCAGATGCAAGCAGGAAAGGGAATCTGGGGCCATGGAGAGGGCTGCACTCACTGTACAGGTCCGACTCGTCCAGGATCTCGGACTTGATGATCTCCTCAATGACATCCTCCAGCGTGACCAGGCCCAGGACCTCGTAGAAGGGGTCGCCCTCGCCCTCATTGTTCACCTTCTGCACGATGGCCAGGTGGGACTTCCCTGTGGGGACAACACAATGAGTCAGACGAGGGCACAAGGCCAGTCATGAGACTCCCTCCACAGAAATGTGAACGCTGTGAGGGTCGTGAGTCATTGGGGTGGGCTGTTGTGGTCTTTTTCCCCTTTTCCTTATTTTCTTTACTTGAAGCTTTGCTCTACCTACTTCCTCTTCATCTCTGGAGTCTTATGGGTCTGTTTGTTTGTTTGTTTGTTTGTTTGTTTGTTATCTTTTGTTCTTTCCTCTGGAGTCTTTTGATGCAGACAAGGGAGACATAACAGAATCTGCCCTTCCAGGAAGATCCACTGTTGAAATGCTGGTCTCTGAATTTACCTACAGGCTGTTCCGGGACAAGGTCAATACCCGTTAGCAACCTGGCATGCAAACTGAGACCAGACCACTTCGGCCTGAGAGCAAATGTAGTGGGTTTGAAGAGGCTCAGTCTGCTGGCCTCAGGTGGCCATGTGTCTGTCACCTAGGCAACACTGGGGGGCACAGACCATGAAAACGAAAATTAAAACACCTTTAAAGAAAAAGGACTTGGATTGATGTTTTTACTGCAAACAGATATTGTTTTTACAAAAAGAAAAACCAAAAATATTTTTTAAAGGCATTTCATTGGGCCGGCCCGGTGGCGCACTGGATAGTGCACTGCTTGGGAAGCGCGGCGGCGCTCCCGCCCGAGGGTTCGGATCCCACATACGGACCGGTTCCCGCTCACTGGCTGAGCGAGGCGCGGGGGCAACACCGAGGGTTGCAATCCCGTTGCCGGTCCCCGGTCCGGTACGGGGGCAACACTGAGGGTTGCGATCCGTTGCCGGACACGGAAAAAGACAAAAAAAAAAAAAAAAAAAAAAAGGCATTTCATTAAGGACCACCTGTTAAAATAAGATAAAAATGACAAGGCCCTGCCTCAGGGAGGGGAAAGACTCACACTGACAAGGACTCTCAGGGAGGGGAGAGACGCACACTGACGGGAGCCCAGGGAGCCCTGGTCGGGGACACGTGTGCCAGCCAGACATGGGGCTCCACGTCCCCCACATTCCTTCACACAGCTGTCACGGGAGCAACACCGAGGGTTGCAATCCCGTTGCCGGTCCCCGGTCCGGTACGGGGGCAACACTGAGGGTTGCGATCCGTTGCCGGACACGGAAAAAGACAAAAGACAAAAAAAAAAAAAAAAGGCATTTCATTAAGGACCACCTGTTAAAATAAGATAAAAATGACAAGGCCCTGCCTCAGGGAGGGGAAAGACTCACACTGACAAGGACTCTCAGGGAGGGGAGAGACGCACACTGACGGGAGCCCAGGGAGCCCTGGTCGGGGACACGTGTGCCAGCCAGACATGGGGCTCCACGTCCCCCACATTCCTTCACACAGCTGTCCTTGGCACACCTGCGTGCACCCAGGGACTGCGATACTGCCCGAAGCAAAGGCTCTCAGTTCCCAAAGCCATTAACAAATTAGCCCACTGTAATTAGGCTGGGCAGAGACTATAATTAGAGAGGGGCCACCCTTCCTCCTAAAGCAAGAAAAGGTTAGGCGGCAGGCGGGTGGGCCGGGACCCTCCACAGAAGCTTTGCAGGGTGGCAGGGCTTCCGGGCCCTCTTGGGCTGCTCGCCCTGCTCTTGTGCCCCAGCCCCAGTGAGCAGCAGCAGGGGACAGCCCAGAAAGGTTTTCAGAGGGCGCCAGGCTGGAAGGTCGCACAAGCCGCTCTGCTTTAGTTCCCATCCCCATTTGGTGACATAGTTTATCTGACTGCCCAGGCACCTCGAGGCGTTGGTTCTCTCTAGAGGACACTCTGTGGGCAGCCCCTGGTTGGCACAGATGCCTGGGTACAGACCCCAGGGTGCTGGCCCCGGGCTGGCTGCTGCCCTGTTTGGCCCACACTCTAGGCTGAATGAAACTGTGTGCCCCAAACATGGGGACACAGGTCTAGAGAAGTCTAAGGGGAAAGGCTCCCAGAGCTCCCAGTGACCTCCCCGTTACCATCCAACCCTCCCAGCCCCACTCTAAGGATGAAAGAACTCATTCTAAATAGGTGGAAGGTGTTTTCCAGGTCTTTTAGACCACAGATAATCCCTCAACCCCAGGATGGGCTCTTCAAAACTCCTAGGAGCCCTTTCGGGAGTCCTCCTAGGAGCACTAGGTCTCATGAATAAAATAAAATTTATCAAGGTATGTCCCCTGTGATGAGGGGGAGTTCTGTCACATGCAAGTTTTTCACACGCAGGCCAGTCACTGCGATATACATATTGCCCACTACAGGTTGTGGTCAAAAAGTTTTAGCACCTTGCTGGACAGAACTAAGGCTGGACTTGATTACAACTTCCCTAGTACCTTTCCAGAGATGAGCCCACGAACACAAGAGATGTGCCAAGGTCCTCCAGCAGGTCAGCAGCCAACCAGGGCCAGCACCCTGGGGTCTGTACCCGGGCGTCTGTGCCAGCTGGGGGCTGCCCACAGAGTGTCCTCTAGAGAGAACCAATGCCTCGAGGTGCCTGGGCAGTCAGATAAACTATGTCACCAAATGCGGATGGGAACTAAAGCAATGTGGCTTGTGCTACCTTCCAGCCTGGCACCCTCTAAAAAGCCTGGGAATACCCAGTGTTGGTGGGGGGGACAAGGAGACCCTCACACAAGCTCTGGTTGATAGACAGGTGAAAGGGCACAACATTTCAGGAGACCAATTGGGCAGGATATCTCAAAGTTAAGAGTACCTACCCTTGGACTCAGAAATTCCTCTTCTAGGAACTTATCCTATGGAGAAACAACCTTCAAAAAAGCAGGGCAGTTCATTGGAACATTCTTTTTAACAGCCCCAAACCAGAAACAATGTAAATCAACAGCAGTGGGACACAGGTACTGAGCAGGGCCCACGGCTACTTGGGGGAGAATGTGGTAAAGCTGGATGGGTGAAATGTGGAATGAAACCCAAGACACGCCATTAGTGGAAGAGAAGTCACAGGGCAGGATGCATGGCGCCACCCGCCTGCACACAAACACTGGACGGGTGGCCCTGAACGGCCCTGGAAACGTCTGGAAATGGAAACAGTGATCACCTTTGGAAGGTATTTGGAGTTTGGGGCAGGAGCCCTATTATCCCTTTCTCTCTACCCTTCTATACTGTTCTATTTGATTGGTATGTTTTACTTTTACAATTTTTTTAAAACCAAAAAATTAACGGGAAAATAAAATCAGGGGACAAAGGGAAACTGGAGAGAGTCCAGAGGGTGGGCAAGGACCTTCTGTGCCTTCCACTGCCACAGGTCAAGTCCCAGGGAATGGGGGTGTGTCTTTTGACATGGTTCAGTGAGCAGCACCTTGCTGGTACCCCGGAGAGTCAGAAAACATCCTTCCCCCTATTGAAACCCCTAATTGCCCCACAGGCCCAGATCAAATCCCAACCAACGAGCAGTCGTGGGCTGCCCTGGGCCTCACAGGGAAAAGCTGGCAGCTTCTCTGAAGGGCAGAAACATCCTTCCTGCAGATGAAATGAACTGACTCCCTGCGCCAGGTCTTGCTAACACTGTCCTCCGTGAGGCCCCTTGGTTGTGGGATCCGCTGCTGCGTGTGCACGACCTCTGGTGGCAACCAATGGCATGACAGGCACCTTGTAGGTGCGCAGCCCTGGGGCACCGTGTTCACCCCCGCTCTGCACCTAAGAGCATCCGACACTGGTGCTGTTGATGGCTTGCCAGTTGGGGCCCCACACAAAAGTTCCTGGCTAAGGGACCAGTCAGTCATCCTCCGCTGGGCCAGCCACACATAGGGATGTGTTTGTCTTTTGTCTTTTACTAATTTGTCTTCCCAGAGGGGGTATCTTTTTGTCCTAGCAGAAGCTTCCCCTCTCCTGGACCAGAGATCCTCCTGTCAAGGTCACCAACGAATGACCTCCAATGGCAGGGTCTCATTCTCAGATGACCTGCTGACCTTGAACTTAACACAGCCAAAACCAAGCTCGTGGCAGTTCCTCCAGCCTTCCCATTCCCTTTTCACAGCAGCTCTGTCCTTTCAGTTATCAGACCCGTGGAGAGTGAACCTGGCCTCCTTTCTTTAGCCCTCTACGTCCATTCAGTGGGAAAAGAAAGGTAACCAGTGAGGGGAGGGGAAAGGGATGCAGACTTAGAGAAAGTTTTGGATTTTCGTAATTTAGAAGTTTCTCCTATTTCAGAAGTTACTGCTAACTGATTTACCACTTAAAATAGGCAGATCAACTTGGGACTCATATTTATGATTCACATTATATGGAATCTAACTCTAATAGGAATTTTTATTTTGATGAGGTATCTCATTTTATTATTGGTGTCCACTCAACTAGGTAACTGGATTTGGCGGATGGCTGGGGTGAGAAATGAAGCATGAAAATTTAACACATCTACAGCTGAAAATTCCACATTTTTCAAAGTAGTCCTTATTCAAAGAAAAAACAACTGAGGAAATAAAGCAAAATATTAACATTTGGTTGAGCCATATGAAATTGCTAATACTCGACTATTTTTGACAAAAAATAGCAATTTCACGTGGTTTAACATAACAGTATAAGGGATTCAGGATTTTTTCTTCTTTTTTATACTACCCTGTACAGAAAATCCAAATTTTCCTTAATCAATAGTATTTATTTTATAGTACAGAGAGAAACACATATATATATATATTTTTTTTTTTGTCTTTTGTCTTTTTTCCGTGTCCAGCAACGGATCGCAACCCTCAGTGTTGCCCCCGTACCGGACCGGGGACCGGCAACGGGATCGCAAGCCTCGGTGTTGCTCCCGCGCCTCGCTCAGCCAGTGAGCGGGAACCGGTCTGTATATGGGATCCGAACCCTCGGACGGGAGCGCCGCCGCGCCTCCCAAGCGGCGCACTATCCAGTGCGCCACCGGGCCGGCCCAGAGAAACACATATATTGGAGTAACTTTTACAAAACTTCTGATCCTGCTTCCTCTGGGACTTCGGGGTTATTGAGCCTCCCTAAGCTCAAACACTGCTAGGAAGGGGCAGT